ATATACGAAAGGGAAAAGGAGAAAGAAGGATAGGTCGTTTTTCATGTCCGGAAGAGGGTAAAAACGGTTACAGCGGAAAGAAGGAATCCGGGTCGTGAAAGGAGCGAAAGCTCCCACTTCTTTTCGACACCACAGCGGCGCGCCGCGACAAGCCATGCTGTCAGTCTTTGGAAAGAAAATAAAAGAAAACAGACTTTCAGATAAGAGGTATCAAAGAAGAAAAGAATAGCGCGAGAAGCTTTTGTTTGTCGTCCGCGAGATTTTTAAAGAAAATGTGGCAAACATTCGAGGCCACCAGTCGATCGCGAATCGGACGATTAAGAGTTCCTGAAGCCGGAGAGTTCGTCGAAAGAATCGACGACTTGGGGAAAGCGAGGCTCGTTGTTCGAGCCGACGTTCTATTGTCTGACCCCGGCCGAAGGAGAAACGCTATACAAGTAACGAGAAAACAATCATCGAAGACAATGGATAGTGCTATAGCATCGTGGTTTTATCGTCTAGACGTAGAACAGTGATGTTGCCCAACTACATATTTTACATATGTATATTTACATTATAATTATATTTTTGATTTCGTTCAAACGACGAATTGAAAATCTAAAAGATAAAGAACAAACTTTTGATATTTCAGAATTTAAATGCTAATTTTAAACGCAAAAAAAAAAAAAAGGGAAAAATACGGCGAATGGTATGTCGATATTCCGAGAACAACGAAACTGATTGAATCGATACGATTATCGTTTCCGCGCGGTTTCTCGAATTGCGATAAAAGAACGCTCTCTGTTCGATCCTTAACCGAACTTTGATCGTATGTCGAAGTCAAAGAGCGATCGACCAATGGTGAACGAGGATGCAATTAATTTCATTAAGATGGTGCGCGGTAAACATTGCGCGCAGACGCAATTTCGCCACGTTAAGATAAAGATAATCGATCGAGTTATTCTTTACAAGTGCGAACGACGCGCATAAGTTATCGTGTTTACGATAGATTCGTCGAAACAAACAATGAGAAGGTCATTGCAACCATAATCGGAGAGAAGTGAAATTTGACACAATGGTCTAGGTTAAGAAGTCATGGAAGAGTCATAAACTGTTGAACACAGGAAAGAGAGTGGCTAGTGGCTAGCGAAACATAAGTTCGGAAAGGGTTCGATCGAGCACTAGTGAGTGGGTGGCTCGTTGCGCCGCGGCGTGTCATGGCGGGGTAACGTTGGTTACTATGGCAACTCTTCGAGCTCTTGCCCCAGCCAACCCCAGGGATCTACGCGATAATTGGATCGATCTCGACCAATCATTTGATCGATCGATATACATTTTCCGGTTATCCGTTCTCGTCCGATCAATGACTCGCGACACCTTACTACCCTCGTGTTTCTCGAAAGATATTCCTTTCGAGCGTGAACTCGAACGAGAAGCAAAGAAATCGGTCCACGCGATTTCACGGTTCGATTCTCGATCGATCGATTCGTCCCTTGGCCTCCCTGATCGATCCTAGTCTCTCTTTTTTTCCTGTTTTTATCTCCATTCACTCATGAATCAGGAGGTCTAAGTATACTAAGGATAAATATCTCGTTCATTTAACAATAAATTACGTGGGTGTATCTGAGTGGGTGTAAAAATTAAAAAATTGGAACTTGAACACAAGGGACAAGAAAAGTACCTATTTTCTTTATTATTCATCGGTGAATATGATCTTATTATATTGGTATTATTAAGGTTATTAAACTAATTCTGAGTTTTTAATCTTTTAGTGTATAATAAATGATATGGTAAATGAAATAACTAAAAGAAATAACTAAATGATTTCAAATCTTTTGTGTTGCAACGTATGTCAAGTGTCTTGATAATTTCTTTCATCGATTTTCATTGGAATTTATTGATTTACATTCCAATTATTATGATATCTTATTTATGCATGTCGAAAAATCCTTAAATATTTGAAATAGTAATATTATATGAGTATATATATATATATATATATATATAACAATTTTTATTTTAAGCATATAATGTCTGTGATCGATTAAATGCTGTAAATCGAATCATAAAATTATGATGTTTGCAATTGGGAATTATTAAACAAAACGAAAATTCTGAGTTACAGATATTCTATTGACCGACTACTTTAAACGATCGAGTAGGTCATCGAATTTCGACGAAATGAACATAGTTATCCTGGTAACTGGAAAAACTAGCTTGTCGCAGGTTTGGTTAACTGTCGAAGAAACGATAACGGGACCGGTCCCAGGCAATATTTATACAGGCTCAACTCGTTTCGAGCGGTTTTTTTCATCAAACGATTTTCGCGATAGACGCGATAGAAGAGATAAAGTACGCGTATTCAAAGTATGCAAGACGGGTGGTGGCTGGCAGGTTGCCAACGCATACACTCCAAGAGAACCGGCAAGATGCCCCTTTATTCCAACTCTTTTCGACCTTGCACGTTTTCTTCGCGATTTTTGGTTACGAGATTTGAAGATGGAACGACAAACGCAAAAATCGATCTGAAGATGAAATGCACGTCCTGCTATAAATAACTTTCGCACAATTCGCTAATGAATTTGAACGGAACATTAATCAGGATAGGAATGGGAAGGGAAATAGCAAAAAGCGTCCCCCTTTGCTCCAGTTGTCGGCGCACCCTCTCTCGGAAAGACTAATTCAAGCCAACTACCCTCGACGCGCATCCTCGTGACCAAAAATAATCCACCTATCCATTCGTCCGTGTCTATTGGTCGCGCGACGAGACAATGTACCTCTCAGTTGAATGGAAACAAAACTAAATCGCTTTCCATATTTTCCCTTTTCCTTCGCCGTCTTTCGTGACTTGGATATAAGAATTCTCAGAATAAAGTGCACTGCAAGTCAATTACCGACCGCTTCCCCTCCACTTACCGACAGAAAAACTTATCTCGTTCGTAATCGTTTTCTATCTTCGTTTCACTGTTTCGATTGGCGATCCCACCCTATACAGATTTGTTAACAGTGATCGTCTTCTATAATATTTTTCAATTCTTTTCCTTTTCACAAAATATTGCGCACAATATTCCCGCGAATAAACGATATTGCACATTTGACGTTTCACTAACCTATAAGAGTCGTGCTTTATCGCACGATGCAATGTTGCGTTGATCGAATAAGTATCTTAACCACACTATTCTCGGAGAAGAAACTTTACCCACCATCCTCACGATGTGTAATGTTAGTCGTCTCCCGAATCATCTTACTCTCGATAACATTCACGGTTTTTTTTTTCTTTTCTACTCCCCTTTCTCTTTATCGAAGAAAATATTTCGCGGAAATTCAACTCTTATCCATAAGAGCTTGAACAACGCATCGATGTCTTGCAAAACATCATTAACAGAACTGGTATTTGACGAATAGAAATGGGAAAGAAGGGAACGGAAGCAGTTTCATAGTTTTATCGCGCAAAAAACGCGATCATTTTCGAAGAGGCTGAGACCCATCGTTCTATGGAATGCGACGAGATCTATTTTTGTTTCTTTGTTCAAAATTTTATCGAAAAACGTGCACTATTTGATGAATCATATCTTCCCTTTTTGTTTAATAATGTTCGAAATATACGTTTCAATATTTTTATTTTTAATATATCGTTTTGAATTTTCCCCTTAGTCCACGTTTCAAGGCGTATAGGTTATGTAACGATAAGGTATGATATTACGATGATTGAAATAAGCAAATTTAGAAAAGAGCGCAAATAAGATCACAGAAGATTGAAATAGGATTATTTATATTTCTTTTATCAATTTAAAACATGTTATTCACGTGAACTTTCTTTCGAAAAAAAAAAAAGAAAACAAAAAGATAGAATAATAATGTTTCGTGCATCAATAATATCTTATAACGAGCCCGAAATTATATACGAAATAACAATGCTTGTCATTTCTATCATCGTTACTATAGTAGTCAGAATACGATCGCTCAATGGTTACTGATAACAATCGGGATATGATTCTTTGT